AACTTGTCCCACACTTATATTTTGCAATGAGCCTTGCTCAGTAGCTGGCCACTTGTATTCAAGTTACCACTTTGAGTTCCCCTAAACAAACCCTCCAGGTAGGTATGACCCAAGTTTTATACAAGATGGTCCTGAGGCCATGGTATACAAGAAAGCCATGTCTGAGGCCACAGGTAAAACTGACTTAAAAAGTCTATTAAAATTGGCTGCAAATCCAACAAAAAGTTGTGTCCAAGGCCTCAGCAAGCTAAGTGGCAGTGGTGTAAATTGGAGCAAATCACCCTCTCTTCACAGGGTCTTGCCTGCTGCCTGCAGTCAGCACAGGGTCCTGAGCACTTCACCAGGGCCTTCTCCTGTAAGGTGAAAGCTAGCATAGTGCTGTCAAAGGCCAGCTATCAGGTGCTGATGAGACCGGAAGTGGGCGGGCACAATCTCTAAAAGAATGACAGGGACTTCCCTGGTAGTCCAGTCGTTCAGAATCTGCCTTGCAACACAGGGGATGTGGGTTCAGTCCCTGGCCTGGGAACTAGGATTGCACGTGAAAGAAAGAAAGTGAGGTCTCTCAGTCGTGTCCGACTCTTTGCGACCCCATGGACATTGGCCCACCAGGCTCCTCCGCCCATGGAATTTTCCAGGCAAGATTACTGGAGTGGATTGCCATTTCCTTCACTTGCAGTGCCATGGGGCAAGTAAGCCTGTGTGTTGAGATGAATATCCTGCACACCCCAACTAAGACCTGAAGTAAATATATATTTTTAAATCCCTTTGAAACACGGCAACTAGGTGACACAGGCAGAGGCACCATGACAGTTCCAAGGCTGACCATAAAGGTCAAAAAGTGGGTGCTGACCCAGTTCCTGGAAATCCCCACCCTTTCCGCAAAATAGCTGGCACACTCCTCCCACTCATCAGCCTATTAAATGACCCCCCTATAAACACTGACAGCCCCATACCCTGGTTCTGGGTTTGCCTTCCAGGATGGCCCACACTCTCTGTTTTGAGTGTTTTCGACCTGGATTGACCTTCTTTCACTTCACCTTGTCTCATTCTTCAATTCCTGCCTATGCATAGCCAAGTACCCACACTTGGCGGACATCCCAGGGACTCGGACATGACCTGGGATGTGACCATCCTCTCTCACCCCACTCTCTTGCCCTCAACACAGCTGCGGTCTCCTCCAGCCTCAGAGATCCCTGGAGCGTTAAAAGAACACCGTCTTTTCAGGTTGTTCATTGTTTCCTGTGCTGTGCACAAGTTTTCAGTTTGATGGATCCTACCGTCTAGCTTTGTTTTTGGGGCTTGTGCTTTTGGTGTCAAGCTCAAAACCATCCTTGTGGAGACCCATGCCAAAGAATTTTTCTTCTATGCTTTCTTTTAGGAGTTGTGTGGTTTTTGTAAACCTTTAATCTATCTTGCGTTGAATTTTGTATATGATACAAGAGATCTTACTTGATCAACCAGGGACGGAACTTGTGCCCCCTGCATTGAAAGCTAGGGATCTTAACCACTGGATTGCCAGGGAAATTTCAGTTGTAATTGCTAATTTGTCTGTTTCTCCGCTTATTCCTATAAGTTTTCTTTAAGAATTTTAAACTTCCTTTGCTAAGTACATTCTGATTCAGTATTCATATGTATTCTTGATGACTTACACATTTTATCATTGGGATAAATACCCCTCTCTATATCTGGTCCTTGTCCTAGAAGTTACTTGATTGTGTGCCATGCTTAGTCACTCAGTCGTGTCTGACCCTTCGTGACCCCATAGACTGTAGCCTGCCAGGCTCCTCTGTCCATGGGGATTCTCCAGGCAAGAACACTGGAGTGGGTTGCCATGCCCTCCTCCAGGGCATCTTCCCAAACCAGGAATCGAACCTAGGTCTCCCACATGGTAGGTAGATTCTTTACCATCTGGGCCACCAGGAAGCCTGTCAGTTAACCAATACAGCCTCCTGTGTTTTCTTTAAATTAATGTTTCCACAGCATATCTGTTGTGTCAACAGTGAAGAATCTCCTGAGATGCAGGAGATGCAGAGACATGGTTATGATTCCTGGGAGGGGGAGATTCCCTGGAGGAGGGTATGGCAACCCAGTGCAGTAACCTTGCCTGGATGATTCCATAGGGGTCTCAAGAGTGTTGGACACGACTGAGCGTCTAAACAACAGCAGCAGCATATCTGATCCATCCTTTCATTTTTAATCCATTTGCCTTTATATATGATATCTCAAGTGGGCTTTCTAATAGATAATTAATATCTGATTCTTGCTTTTCTTGTTTTTTTTTTTTTTTTTTTTACTGAAATGATCATCTCTTTCCTTAAGAGAGTGTCTAGAATGTTAGCGTCACAGTTTATTCCATAAGAGTGAGCCAACATTCCACCTGGTATCATAGACTTCATTTTTTTAGAGCAGTTTTAGAATCGAATGAAAACCACAGTTTTCCCCTATCATTTCAACAACTCCAACAGTCCACAGAGGGCAAAGAGTCAGACACAACTGAAGTGACTTGGCACACAGGCACACAGCCCTGATCCTGACACCTGTTGCTGGTTTTCTGTCCAGAAGTGAAGATGTCTGCACTCTCTGAATTTTGACCCCATTCTCTTCGACTCAGGAGAATTGTTGGCCTGTTTGGGTTCTTGTTCCCTATGCTTTAGGCCTGGAAATCTGTAGAGGCTGGAGATGCCATAAATCTCACTTGACTTGTTTTCTTTTCATTTTTGATAAATGGTTGAGCACAGAATTTAAAAAATTTAATTAGGTAATTCATTAATTTGGCTGCCATGGACCTTAATCATGACAGTCAAAATCTAGTTGCAGCGTGTGGGATCTAGTTCCCTGACCAGGGGTGGACCCAGGCCCCCTGCGTTGGGAGCACAGGATCCCAGCCGACAGACTGCCAGGGAAGTCCCTCACCTCATGTGTTTTCTGCTCTCCTCAATTACGGTCCTGCATTGGTTGTGGCAGAATCTGAATCAGTGGTTTCACAGGTTTTGCCTGGTTCCTTAGTCGTGTAATGTAGAAGGGCAGCATACAGTCCCATCACATCCTTTTTTTTTTTTATGCTGAATTGTGGGGTCCAAGCTCTTGTCTTTGAGTGTCTGCCCTTTCTTCCTCAGAACTCAGTTCCTTGACTGGGGGCTCTTGTTGGGGGTAATGGGCCTGCCACCACGTCTGCTGGAATCATTCTGTATCAACCTCCAGAGACCACTGAATAGTTATAGGGTCTTGGAACGTACTTCAGCTCACATAAGGGAGGACATGGCAACCCACTCCAGTATTTTTGCCTGAAGAATCTTATGGACAGAGGAGCCTGGTGGGCCCCAGTCCATGGGGTCACAATAAACACTTGTTGAGCAGCTTTTGTGCCAAAAAACACTTGGGCCAGGAGTGATTAAGTGATGAAGTGCCCTTCAACATCCTGCAGCCAAATATGGAGATTGGAAATATGCAAATGTCCTGAATGTAAAAATCAAGCAGAACTCAGAGATGGAGCACTCAGGTCAGAACCCTTTTAAAAGGAAACATCATATTTGTTGGGGAAACAAATGTGTGTTTTTAAGAAGGAGGGAAATTTTGAGGTGCCCCTGAGAGATGGGTTTGGAGACATAGCTGGAGGAGAGATTTTATCCAGGCCTGAGGTCAGTCAGAACAGAGGCAAGAGTGAGAGGAAAGCTGAAGGCAAGGTGGAGGAGGAGCCAGGTCCCCGTGTCTCTGAGCTGGAAAGTGCTCAGAGGACCTGGGAGACCCTCAGGGAAGCCGTGAAGGTTCAGAGATGGATTTGCTGGGGAGATGCCATGACAGATGGACAGACTGCACAGCTCAGATGGGTGACAGAAGGCTAAGGAAGTGATTCAGAAAGAACAAGTGGTCCAACCTCATTGTGGGGTGAAAGTTGTGAAAGAGGAATAGAATCTGACAACCTTTGGAACACCAGCTGAGACCCTCTTATAGCTTCCTCTAGGGATTATACTTGATTTGAATTAAAGGTGAGTCATTAACACTTTCTAAGTTGCCTGTTTGGTAACAACCAGCACAATAAACAGAATGTTAAAAAATAATCATAATAATAATCAAGCTTCTAATTTTTTGTAAAAAGTCTTTAATTCGATTTGGCTTCTGGACTCTATAAGGAGGCATTTATACACCATGTAACATTCTCCTCGTGTTTCTGGATTTTTCATTTCTTCTTCCGGCAGCATGTTCGGCCACTCAGGGAACAGCGGCCTATCTGTTCCTCCTTTGGAAGGCAGCCGATCAGAGCACACCGGCCGCTTCTTCTTTTGCAGTAATACTATTGTAACCTGCTTACGATTCCGCCATTGCCTTCGGTGAAGAAACGGAGCACACGGAAGGTTTTAGGAAGGCCGCGGTGCAAGTCCAAGGCTTTTGAAATCTCTCTAATAAGTTATCTGTTGTCATTTTCTGTTCTTTTATGTCTTTTTCCTCTTTCTTTACCATCTGGAGTTAAGAAGACGGTGGGGCTAGCTGCTAATAATTATTCTGTGGGTTCGGCTCAGCTGACAAAGTGGCGTGACCGTGGCAGCCCCCTTGTGAATTGACACCTGGGAGGCAGGGGCCACGATGGTCCCCCGGGTCCTTAAGAGTCCGAAAATCTGTACCTCCGACTGCTAAGCTAATAAAAGGGAACCTGGGATTCTGTCCTCAGAGTAAGTTCCTTTCCTCCTGTTGGTATTAAGATTTATAAAATAAATAAATAAATAAAGATTTACATCACTTTCTTCCTGTCTCATAAACATGTATAACAATCCTCCCATGGAGGGATGGTTTGTGAGCTGATTAGTCTCTTAAGAGTGAATCAGAAGGGATGGAGAGCCTGCTTTGAGCTTCTTGATGGTCTTTGTCAAGAAAAAAAAAAAGAGAGAAAAACTGGTAATGTCTAGTTCCCAAGCAATAAATCTCCTTTATCTAAAATTCCCAAATGAATGGAGAAGGCTGACTCTGATAAATTCTCAATCCATTCAGCCCTGTCATTTCCCAGCCCATCTTTCCTGGAACAGGCAGCAAGAACAAGAAGAGCAACGCAAAGAGAAGGTAGTAGACCCTCATGGCTGGCTGGCTTCCCAGCTGAGACTGGACAGGATGGCGTGCTCGCTCAATCTATAAAGGCTTCAGGTCCACAGCTATAGGGAGAAGCATTCAGCAGCTGCAATTCATGTAATATTACAGGGATGACAATATGATGTATTTCCTTCAGCTTCATGCCAAGGTCCCTTACAAAGCAGACCACACCCATTCCCCCCAGGAGTTAATTACAAACCTCAGGGAGACTCAGAGACTGATGTGAGCACAGGGCTGTTCTGATGCTTCTGAGCTCTGCGTGCTCGTGTAGGGCTGGCTCATGTCTGGCTGTCTGAGACGGGAAAGACCTGCCCACTCCTGGATGCAGTCCTGGGGCATGTAGCTGGGAGCTCACCTGTGCCCACTAAGCTTTTGCCTTCTTCCTAAAGTCCTGGGAGAGCCTGAGCCCCATCAAGCCAGTCCACGACTGGTGTATTCAGAATCAGGTGTAAAGTGGGGCTGGGTCACGCCCTGAGCCTGCACGGATATGCCCAAAATGGAACCAGCTTTTAAGTAGTGTGGGAAGGGAAGGAAAGTGGGCTGCATTCCAGAGACTCTGCCCTGTGTCCTTGGCCTGTGATGGAGTGTGGCATCTGAGGTCAAACACAGCTTATACTTCACTGCAGTCTGAAAACCACCAAACTCGTGAGTCAGGAAGGTGTCTGACGCTTCCCTTCAGGGCTGGGGCCCTTAATCTCCAGCACAAGAGTCCTGAGAGCGCCTTCCTCTTATACAGGGCCAGCAGCTCCCACAGTGGTGGCTGCTCTTGGGGGGTGGGGTCTGCTCAGAGCCCCTGGGCCCTCATGGGTTAGCGTTATTTGAGCAATAATTAATTTTGGCTCTTTTTAGATGCTATGATCTGGAGGCGCTGTCACTGCAACACAGCCTGGAGCATACTGTCTCCTGAGGAGGGCTGCAGGGAAAATGCAGGACACCCAGTTTAGCTTGGATTTCAGGTGATCAACAAACACCTGAAACTGGATAAGTATGTCCCAAGTGATGCAGAGATCACACTCAAGCTACAGTATTTGTTGTTTACATATACACAAATATATAAATATATATATATATATAAATATATAAACAAATCTATAAGTGTGTTGTTCATATAATTCAATAAGTAAATTTGTTTTTTGGGATTCTTGAATATTTAATAAAAGCTTGGTCTTTGGAATCAAACCCACTTGGGATTGAGGTAAAGTCCTCCCTATACACAACCTGCACGACTTTGAACAAATTAATTTATTTCTAAATCCCAGCAGTAAATCGGAGCTAAAAACACCTATCCTGTAAATAGCCCTGGGAGGAATACATTTGGGATAAGACATTTAAAGTTTTGGTGTCTCAGTAAAGAGGAAGTGGTCAATATAATTTGCTATTACTATTAGTGTTACTGTTAGTCACATGAAATGATTTGGAAGCTGTAAAGTCTCCTGTAAATGTTATCTATCAGCTTTACAATTTATGGACTTACTACCCACTAGTTAAGGGCAATCATGGGAGACTATTTTTCACTTTAAGCTTCTCTTTCCTTATTTGAAAAATGGAGCATATTGTATATGCATGCTTCTTTCAGATATATTATTCAGTGGCTATATATTTCAGCATATCACTGAATGAGGAATCAACCTGACTTTCCCTACTCCAGGCTCCAAGTTTGGAGCCAGCTTAGCCAACGGTTACCTGATGTCGTCTAGATAAGACATATGAGTAAGCGGAAGAGAAGGTACAGGAGCCTCATGATGGAAGAGGAGCTTTCTGGATTCCGGGTCGACCCGGCAGTGTCTGATGGCACACCTGAATTGGGCAGGCGATTTGGGAAAGAGTTTGACCAACAGGTAGAGATAGGACTTGTATTCCGACTGGTGGTGGTACTGTGCTCAGTCTGGTTGGACTCTTTGCAACCCCGTGGAATGTAGCCCACTAGGTTCCTCTGTTTATGGAATCTTCCAGGCAAGAGTACTGGAGTGGGTTGCCATTTCCTACTCCAGGGGATCTTGCTGATCCAGGGATCGGATCTGGGTCTCCCATGTTTCGTTACCACTGTGCCACCTGGAAAGTCCCTACTGGAGATATTCAGTTATGGCCTGGGAGTAAGTTGAGGGTGTCTCATCTGTGGACTCAGGGTCCCAGACCCAATTGTCTCCCTTTTGTAAAGGAAGAGGTTTGCAGGAAGTCAGGGTTTCCACATTGGTTCTCACTTTTCCTCATGGCTCTGACATTTGGGGGGGTGTTTTCTTTTTTTCTTTTTTTGAGAAAAATCATTAAAAATTGCATTCTGTTAACAAATTATTCATTTATTTATTCAGCTTTTTTGCATATCTCTGCATCTGTCTCTTTATCCTTTCAGAATAAATACTGCCCCCCCGCCCCCCCTCCACACACCATTTGCAATTAAAAAGCAAAAACCATTTTGGAAACAGGAATGATCTTCTCTCCTTTTGCACTCTCAACATATTTCTTACTACCATTTCCAGAGAGACTGATCCATCCTAAGCAAGCTTACCAGGTCATCTCTTGCACAGACCACAACCAGGTGAGGCTTTGTAGGCTAGAGCATTTCTTACTACAGGTATTATATCAACATATTCTTAAGGTAAAAGCATAGGAGGGTACCAGCTGTGGGGCTTCCCAGGTGGTCCTAGTGCTAAAGAGCCCACCTGCCAATGCAGGAGATGCAGCTGTGATCTCTGGGTCAGCAAGATTCCCTGGATGTCAAATAACTCACTCCACTGTTCTTGTCTGGGAAATCCCACGGCCAGAGCGGCCTGATGGGCTGTAGTCCGTGGGGTTGGAAGGAGTTGGACATGACTGAAGTAACTCAGCACCCACGCATACCAGGTAAATAACTGAAAGCTTTCTCCATCTCTTCCTTCTCTCCATCTCAGTTTTGCTTTACAGGGTTTATATCTCTCTTTTTTTTTATATGTAAATTTCTAAAGAAACAAGTCCTGTTTTATTATCTCACATCTAGAACAGAGCCTGGCACAGAGCAGGTAGTCAGTCAAACATCTGTATGAACAGGTCCTAGTATGGAAACATCAACCTATTGGTGAATGAATAAATGGATGAATGGAGGGGATCAGGGAAAGAAGGAGGGAAGGAGGAAAGGAAGGAAGGCTCGGGCAAAATCCTTAGAGTTTTGAGGGTCTGGAGAGAGCCCATTAAGTTGCCTTATACCAAAGTGTTCCTGAGCACAAGCATCCACTCACCCATTCCCAACATAACAGGTCAAAGCTTGTCATAATCCGTCATGGTCTCTAGTCTTCACTCACCCGCCTCTCTTCCATCTTACATGAACTGTATGTTCTGACATTTTTCTCTCTGTCCTGAACCAACTTAGCAATAAAATGTTATCACTTTCAATCTTTTGATCAGCATTTGAATCTTTCACTAAGTAGAGATCTATTTTAGTTAAGTGACATGAACTTAAAAATAGAATGAGTGTTTGCTGTAAGCTGTTTCAATAAGTCTTACCTAATTCTACAGAATAGCTGTGAGGGTTTTACTTCGTTGGCCCCAGCAACAGTACTTTTATAATAATAGAAAAGAAAGGATGAACTAAAAGCATTGGGTCACATTTCTCTCTTGTACTCTTATACTGAAAGCCATCCATTTCACTGACTCCCTACATGTTACGCATGTATTCCCACCTCTTCTGCAACCACAGATGTCTCTCTCTCCTGACAACCTACTTGCAGTTGGCTCCTCCGCCCTTCTCAGGAGGACTGCGGCCTGTCCACTCAGGCAGAGACACCGGAGAGCCCCTGTCCATTGCCACACAATGAGGGCCAGGTCAACAAAGGGCAGAGGAAGGGCTGAGTGAGGTCACACAGGATGCCTCGTGAACCCTGTTGGCAGGAGTCATCCTGGGGGAGAGGGCTGGGACCAGCCAGACTTGATGGTACCAACCCCCCTGAGAGTGATGAGAGGAAGTGGGGGCTGCAACACTCCTTCTGAAGAGGTTTACTGAAAAACTAAGTGCAAGGAAGACCCAGCTCATGATTGCTATCATGTCAAAGAAGAACTGTTTCATTTTTTTAGGTTGTTGTTTTTTTTTGAAAACACTGGTTTTTGCGGGTGTTTTTTGTTTGTCTGTTTTGGAACTTTTGGCCTCTTCTTTAGCATGTGGAATCTTAGTTCCACAACCAGGGGTGGAATCTAGCCCTCTGCATTGGCAGCATGAAGTCTTTAACGACTGGACTATTGGGTAAATCCCTGCTGTTAGTTTGTACAGATGCAGTGCTACTGCTGCTAAGTCACTTCAGTCGTGTCCGACTCTGTAGGACCCATAGGCGGCAGCCCACCAGGCTCCCCTGTCCTTGTGTTTTCCCAGCCAAGAACACTGGAGTGGGTTGCCATTTCCTTCTCCTGTGAATGAAAGTGAAAAGTGAAGGTAAAGTCGCTCAGTCGTGTCCGACTCCCAGCGACCCCACAGACTGTAGCCTACCAGGCTCCTCCATCCATGGGATTTTCCAGGCAAGAGTACTGGAGTGGGGTGCCATTGCATTTGCCATAGATTGAGTAGACGGAGGCAAGAGGTGGAGCTGATTTGGGCCTCACCCACAAGTAAGCAAGAGAAATGAATCCAGGACTCAGGTGGAAAGGTTGGCTATGGACCAGAGCAGGAACCTGTTTGGTTCATGAGTCACATGGAAAAGCCATCCTCTTCTTGGTGCTGAAATGAGAAGAGCATTCCTCCCACGCAAGAGTCCAACAGACACTCAGAAATGTTATGGCAATAAAACATCAGCAGATACATTTAGAATATAACTTTAAAAGTTAACAAAAACTAAAATTTGAAATCCCAATAAAGAATATGATAAAAGTTTCATAAACATTACTACCTAACCACACTCAATATCAGATAAACTTTCCATGATAAAAAAAATTAAAAATAAAGGATAAAAGAGATATAAGATATATGAGGTGTAAGACTGAGTCCCAAATATAAACTTTGAGATGAAAAAGAGTTGGCAGATGAACCA